CTCCCTTCCTCCCTTCCTCCCTTCCTCACCTTTACAACTTATAAAATATCGCAGATATAACCCCTAGGAAATTTCAAGTTTATATAAAATATAAATTAGAAAGTAATAGGCTACTGCAAAATTATCTATTCTAAGGATCTTTTCAAAGAGTGAGTTCTCCTGATATATTTAAACTCCGACCCAGGTGACAAAATGCAATGTTCGTGGGTGCAGACAGTGAAGCTCATGTCATTGCTCGGCTTTTAGTTTATACGCAGCTAAACTTCTACCCAGGGAACGCTGCGATTGTCACCCAGTGACCCTCATCCAGAAGGCATTTGGTAGGTGGCCTGTTGTAACAATATGGAGCCCTTTATAACATTATATGATCACAGGGTTGGATAAGCCACTGGTTACATTATGCTCTTATAAACAATCCCAAACAGGGCCGCCACCTCCCCAGCAAAGGCACATGACCAGCTTTATTAGCAGGTCCAGCCGGTGGACACTGGTCCTTTGCCTGCCCCCTGCCCACACTTGGACGTCTCTGCAGGGCTAACGGTGCTGACGTTATCAGTGGCACCTGCACCCGTCAGCAGAGTGAATTCTGTGGCTTCTCATCTGCTGTGTGTCTGCAGGAGGAAGGAGCGCTGTGCTCCGCAGAAGACAAAGCGATCCCGGGGCAGGGCGCAGGGGTGGTCATCGAAGGGACGCCTGGTTTTGGGTGACGGCCTTATAATTTCACGGTAAAGCATATCGTGGGTAACTTGGGAAGCAGAGTGAAGGATAAAAGGGGAGGAAAAACTCATCTGGACTCCCAGATCTAAAGAAATCTGTTAGCATTTCGGGTATTTTACAGCATTAAGAACCAAACAGTGAAACTACTTTTAAACTGAGATGAAATAGCTTCTTACCGCAAACCTTGAGAAGTCGCAGCCACAGGTCTTCTTGGGGCAGATCTGGTATCTGGGTGCTGTCATTTCAGCAACGTATTCAAATGGGAAACTTTCATTTTCTTTCCTTGTTGACCACATAGAACTTTTTCTTTTTCATATATAAGCTTTTGACAGGGAGGCTGGGAAGTTCGCATTTGAGGATGGTGGCCTGTCATCTCCCCCGGAGACACTGCTCTCAGGCTGTGATGGAGAGAGCTGTGTCCCCGAGGTGTCGGCTCTCCTGCCTGATGTGCTCTCTGTGGGCGGGGGAAGGGGGGAGGTGGCCTTTGGTGTCACTCTCATTCTATGCACTTGTCCTTACATGTGTTGAAAATACATTAGATATAAAACTTGCAACCTCCCTGTCAAATTTTTCACTAAAATTTGCAGCAAAGCTTTTTGTCTATTACAAACCATTCATTCTTCGGAAGCATCATTCTCATGACATTTCCCATCATACACGTCACCATTTTCCCATTGCTGCTTTAAGTGTTTATGAGACGCAGCCTTACACGTGTACCTTTGACCTTATCTCCGTGACGCTGGGATGGACTCCTGAGAGGGGGATTGTGTGGACACACTGCCAGCTTCTGCCAGCTACTCGACGGCTGCCCAGACGGTCCCGTCCACCGCCACGTCTCTGCGGGCGAGTGCAAATGAGGCAGTCAAAAGGCACCTTACTTGGGAAAGTTCCAGTGGGAGCTGGCACAAGGAGTCAAAAACAAGGTGGTTTACTGACACGATCCCCCTTGGCATCTTCATTTTACAATCCTAATAATGAGACACAATTCCTCTTGGGATTCCACCTGGGGTGTCTGGCCTCAGAAATGCCTCACATTATAGTCTGGTCAGTCCATATTTTAAAAACATGAGTTTCATGCTCCGGCCAGCGTGGCTCAGTAGACAGAGCACCAGCCCACGCACCAAAGGGTCGCGGGTTTGATTCCTAGTCAAGGGCATCTATCTGGGTTGTAGGTTTGATCCCAGGGAGTGTGCAGGAGGCAACCAATCAATATGTCTCTCCCCCCCCCCTTCCACTCTCTCTAAAAAGCAATGGAAAAAATATCCTTGGGTGAGGCTTAATAAAAAACAAACAAAAAACATGGTTTCCAAGAACAGTGTTCCAGAGGTGCCCCAGGGTGCCAACATCACTGGTGAAACCAGATTTACTGTTTTCCTTTAGCTGTGCTGAATGTCCTCCCCATTTTTATAAGGGATCACTCTTGCACAGAAAATTTCTCACTCACCCAACCTGTCCACTGGAGACCTTGAACATATAGTTCTTTTCACTTGTGTTTAAACAACACTGTGATCAAATCCTTGAAGGCCAGTGATTGCAGGAATCAGTTCATTAACCATCTGTTGGACTCTGCAGCTAAGGAGTCAGCAGTCCTGGGGGCTGTTCCCCTGACATCGCCCATGAGTAAAAGTGCACGGCCCCAGCCAGATCCCACTACTCGAGGCCGCTGTGCGATAGACACGGGGTTAGTCAGTCAGGAGAACCAGGTCAGAACATGTGTGTGGATCGGTGCGACTAGTAAAATGACCCTGAAGTTGACAGGTCAGCTCCAGTAGTTTTGTGGATGTGGGACAATGGCCTTATAAATGGGCATAGATTCTATTCAAGCTGTGGAAGGGACTTAAGCAATCACTGGGTATATGGATGAGCAGTGTGTGGCCTAAAGGAGTCCTGTGACATGTGCAAGAGCCCATGGCTAGTTGGTGGGTATCTGGGTCTTTACCCAGGTCATCTGATTGCAAGCTCAGTGCTCTTTGTAGTCTTGCATCAACTGTATCTCTTGCCTGTGTCCTTGGAGAACTGGCAAGGTCAATGGTACTTGGCAGAACTGGTTGAGAGAGAAGCCTGGACACGTGAGAAGACATCCCTTTTTATTACATTGCTACCACCTGCACATAAGTAGTGGGATTTTCTGGTGCGGCCCAGACAGTGACAGTCATCCACTTGTCTTCATTTGCATCTCTTAGGAGGCAATAAAATTAATTTAAGAATTCATTTTCCCAGCCCCTTATTTATAGCAAGCCCCTTATGCACGAAGGAACAGCTCCAAATTGAGATTCTTTCCCGATGAGATGCAAACCAGCCTGCAGTGAAACATGTAACCAGGGAGCTGTAATTTCGTGACCTCAGTATCATTAAACCTCACCAATACCATCCCATTAGCTGGTTTTCATGTAATTGCATAAACACAGTTTTGCCCGTTCAAAGCACTTGGAAGTATTTCATTATGTCTGTTTCCTAGTTGGATGACACTGACACATGCCAAGTCTAAAAAAATAACTAGCTTTTCTGTCAACTAGTGATGTTTTGGATTTATAAGAAGGCAGCTGGACCAAAGCCTTTAGATACATGTCAACATTTCAATTTTACCCTAGGAGCCAGGGTGATAATGAGGGGCTCATGCCCATGTGCTTGGAGGTGGAACCTGGGAATTAGGGAAAATGGTGAATGCCCTTGTCATTTCTCCCTCCCAGGCTCTCCAGAGTTTGAATTTAGTTAAGTTTAACAAATACGCATTAAAGGGACACCCTGTGGAAGGTGTTCCCAGGAAGTTCAAGTTCTTGAAGATAAGACAGGCATATGAGTAACTTCAACTCTGAGCCAGGATGGCAGAAGTGCCACGATGGCCACAGAAGAGCTAACTGGTGCAAGAATGAGGGAAATTAATTTTGCCTGAGAGACTCTAGAAAGCTATAAGGAAGGAACAGCATTTGAGCTGGGCCTGGAAGGAGGAAAGGATCTGGCAGGTAAAGAGAATTCTATGAAAAGAAACCACTCTGAACAGTGTGAGTCAAAGGCACATGGCCAGGGGGGTGCAAGCACAGGGCACGGGCTAGGGGTGGATAATCCTGCGTGAGTGGTTAACACTACGGTCTCCGAGCACAGGAAAGGCAGCTCTCAGCAGAGGCCCGGTCTGCCTTACCTAGTACTGCGTCTCCAGAGCCCACACAGCACTCAGCACCTAATGAGCACCCAATGATTAGAGATCCCTTGGAAAGAGATGCCTCTTCAGGTGGGGATTTTTTGTGCAAATGCAGGGATTCCCTTCAAGTTACCTCAAGCAATGGGTGGGGCTCAGGGGAAGTGAGTCATTTTAAGAATGTACTTGGACTGGGACAATGGAGGCAACTCTAGGGACTCCGATTGTCTCCAGACCCACTCCTAGGGGTGTAGCCTCTGGCAGGCTTTTCTGCATTGCTGAGTTCTACTCTCTTCTGCCAGCTTCCCTGGCTCCGTCCAGGTCTCTGCTCCATCTAAACTTTGGTCTGGCAGTGGCCTTAATAGCCACTCTGACCCCTTTTTCCACATCACAACGTTCTTCCTACTTCTGCTGTTGGTTGGCTTGGTCTTTCCCATTTCTAGTCCCAGGAGCGGGAAACCTGTTGGCCTGGACAATTTTTTTATACCAGGCCACCAGATACCCATGCCTACACTAGCCAGTGATGTTGAACTGGCAGAGGGGCACTGGGAGCTGTGGGTAAGGCATTACCCTTAGACATGGGTGCAGTTGCACTGATAGCCTCAAGTACACCCCTAGAGGGAACAGAGTTCTTAGATTTATGCCAACTGACCAAGGAGGCACATGTTGTGCAAGGCTTTTATCTGGACATAGCCTGCTGGCTCTATATCCTTTCATGTCTTCAGACTTTACCACGCCATTGGTAGAGCCTAACAACTCATTGCCCCCAAATCTTTTCCTTTATTTCAGTTTTGTGTCTTCACTTGACTCATCACTCCATCCTCAATTTGGCTCCATCATTCTTTGTTTCTCTGAGGCTTTCTCATAGAAGCCTGTGCCCTAAGCCTTCAGAACTGCAGGTTGACCTGTCATGAGTGGGCCTCATCAGTTGAAGGCATGAACAGAAGAAAAGGCTGACCCTTGCCCCAGAAAGAGATATTTCTCCTGCCAAACAGCTTTCACCCTGGGATATCAGTTCTGCAGATTCTGGATTTGCTAGCCTCCCTAATCAATGAGCCAATTTCTTATAACAAATCTCTTCCCAATGTATGCTATTGGTTCTGTTTCTCTGGAGAACCCTAATACACTCCCCTAAAAGAAACCCTGCAACCATTAGCAGTCATTCCCAACCCCTTCCCCTCCAGCCCTAAGCAACCACTACCTATCTGGCCCATTCTGGGTATTGCATAGAGATGGAATCATACACTATGGGTCTTCTGTGACTGGCTTCTCTTACTTAGAATAATGTTTTTGCGGTTTCTCCAAGTGATAGCATGTATCACTACTTCACTTCTTTTTATTGCCGGGTAATATTCCATTACATGAACATGTCCACATTTTAGTTCTTCAGTCATCAGTAGATGCACATTTGGGTTGTTCCCACTTTAAACGTGTATTGACAAGTTGTTTGGATAGACATACGCTTTATTTCTCTTGGGTATAGACTAGGAGTGGAGGGGTAGAGTGTTTAACATCTTGAAGAACTGCCAAACTGTTTGCCAGTGTACAAGAGTTCCAATTTCTCCACACCCTCGCCAACACTCAACATTTTCTGCCTTTGCTATGATAGCCATCATGGTGGGTGTGAAGTAGCATTTCACTGAAGTTTTGATTTGCATTTCCTTCCCTCATATTTTCCAATCACACTTTTGTTTTCTTCTTTGACCCATTGGTGATTTAGTGTTGTGTTGTTGAATCTTTATATTTTTGTGTGTGTCCTGAATTTCCTTTTCTTCCCAATGGATTGACCCTTTTTCATAATGACATGTCCCTCTTTATCTCTAGTTACAAAATTTTTTGTTTTAATGTCTATTTCTCTAATGTTAGTACAGCCAGTACAGCTCTATTATGGTGGTGTGTTTTCCTGCCCAGCATACTTTTCCAACCTATTACGTTCCATCTATTTGTATTTTTAAATTAAAATCTGCCTCCTGTAGAGAGCATATTTTTTAAATCTGATCATGCAGTCTCTGTCTTTTGATTGGGTTGTTTAACCCATTCACATTTAATGTTATGAATGATATGGTTAGTGCAAACCTCTCAGGTTGCACTTTGGGAACACTGGTCTCAGAGGATGTCCACAGACAGCTCTTGGGAAAGGCTTCCTTCCACACTCAGATCCACATGGAAATGCTGCATTCTATATCCCCTTTGGACATTCACAATTTTCTTGGCATCTAAAAGGTTCTGAGTCCTGCAGCAATAACTCTTAAGCTTTATTTAATGCAGCATTCCTCACACTTACTTGATCTCAGAACTCTCCTACAGAAGAAAGAGCATTAGTATCTCAGGAGACACAAATGTTTCATGGAGCAGTTGGGGGAACACTGCTCAGTGTTTAGAATGAAATTCATTTCATTCAAAAATCTTATATATCAAGATAAAGAAGTTATTCCTTACTTGTGCTTATTCAAATAGGGTTTCTGTTACCAAGTGAATTTTCTCACATCATCAAACCCAGGTAACTTCAAAGGGTCATCTGCTTTCTAGAACAAGCTCTTCCAGGTCCCCTCCTTGCAGCAGCAGCAGGTTTCTATTAGGGGTGTCCCTCCTGATTCCCAGGACCAGTGGATGACACAAACACAGACAAAGGCAACCCTGGGCTTTTGAACTCAGCACCTGAGTAACCACCTGTATACTCAAAGCAACCTGGAATCTACTTCAAAAAGCCCAAAATTAAGTGGGAGAAATAGGCTTTGGAGGAAGTGATAGATGTGATAAATCAGGAACTTCTAATTGTCACCACAGATACCTGCCGACTAAGTTTAAAGAATTCCAGAGGTTCTTGGTAAAGAAAAACCAGGCCCACAGGGATGGCTTCTGCTCCTCTGCTCTGTCACCAGGAGGGATGCAGGGCTGAGCACTGTGCCTTACTTACCTGGACCAGCAAACCCGTCCTCACTGTTCTTTTGAAAATTCTGATGGCCACATGGTTTCTGCTTTTCCGTTGGCAGAGGTACATTTGGATTCAGGGCTCCCAGTGGCTCCACCTACCTTCTTCTCAGGAGTCTGACAGTGAAGCCCTCCTGACTGAGGGGGTCCCTTCTTCCCTGTGCCCCCAATATTCCAGCGCCCCAGGGCAGGGCTGTACTGCTCTTGATCCTTCCCTAGAGGCTGTGGCTTCTGCAGGAAGCAACCTCATTCTTACCCTTTCTTTATCTTCTCAACTGTCCTTTAAAACAACCAGGGAGAATAGATCCTCTGACCATGGTCCCTGAGGGTCATCCCTTTCAGCCTGAAATTTATCCATTCTTAATAGTTACAAGGTGGTGGCCAGGACTTCTGCTAAGAGCCCAGGGAAAGGGAACTTGCAAGCTTATCATGAATTCATGAGCTCTGATCCAGGAGTATAGCAGATCACTGGAAAAAGGATCTGATTTAAGCCCTGGCCGGTGTGGCTCAGTATTCCCGGTCAGGGGACGTGTGCGGGATTGTGGGCTTGATCCCCAGTGGGGCGCATGTAGGAGGCAGCTCATGTGTTGCTCTCACATTATGTTTTTCTTTCTCTCTCCCTCTCTCCCTTCCTCTCTCTCTAAAAATCAATTTTTAAAAACCTTAAAAAAAAAAGGATCTGATTTAAGAGACCAGAGCCAATTGGTATTTAAGAGTTGAATCTCCAGCCTGAAAACAGAGGGGAGAGTTTAAACAGTTTTCCTCTTCGGGACTCAATGCCCAAACAGAGCCTCCACCGCCCACCTCCCATAGCTCAAAAGTGGCTTAACTACAAATATAAAATAGTTATTCCTTAACTAATAAAATTAAAACAAACAAAAGAACCACCACAGAAATAATTAAACTCTGAAAATATAATTGCTTAAACATTTGTATTTTTATTGAACTTTTTGAATTTTTTTTTAAATTTCTGCCTGGTTACAACAATTATAAATAGGAAGCCGCAATTACAATTCACAAACTGTGTCATGAAAAAATCACGCCCCCCATCAGCAATGACCCCAAGCCCTTTCCATTTTGTTCAGTCAGAAGAGTCCACCGCACGCGTGTCAGATGTGAGCGCTGTTATTTTGCCTTGGAAGGGGGAGAACATTTATCCTGGCGGCACTTCACAATCCCAGGAAGTAGTTCTGATACCGCAAGTTGCAGAAATAGAAACCATGACAAACTTGGAGGGCGGCTTCTGGGGAGGCCAGGGACGGCTTGGCGGGGGGCTGCCCTGTGCTGAGGGAACTGCCTGGCCTCGGCCGGCTGAGTCTTCCCAGGTGCTGAAGGAGGAAGCGGACTTTCCCGCGCGGACAGCGAAAATTCCAATTCCCGCAGAGCAGAGTGTTTTCTGTGTCTTCAACCCTCCCCCACCCCGAGGCAAGGCCTCAAGCTTTTCTGGAGCTGCTTTCGGTCACATGACCCTCTACTGCGATGACCCTTTTACTTAAACACATGTGACCCCAAGACTTCTTCTTACTCTGCTTCTCTAGGGTTCAGATGACAGCACAAAACATCATTTGTCAAAAAATAGCAGATATTAAGAACATGGGCATCTGTGTTCATAATAACAGCACAAACTTCGCAGGGTATGTCACCCAAAGGGACATTTTCCCCCCCCATTTAATATGGTCCCCTGGAGAATTAGCTCAAAGTCACACACTTAAGAGTCTTTTCAAAAGATGGGTCAAAAATCAGTTAATTTGACAGTTTAGGAACTCTCGTGCCAATTAAAAAACTTTTATGCCCAATGATTCAATGGTCCATAAAGCAATTAAACATCAGCATTCAGTTGGCGCACACACGCGCACACACGCCCATGCACACACACGAGAACTGTGACAAAAAGGATCAACCAGATTAATTTTGTGACTGTGTTCCAGAGATAGGGAAATTTCAAATCTGAGGGTTCATATTCAAGTATTTAAAAATAGAGAAATAGTCTGATTCCACCTGATTTTCTGGTCATAAGAAATCATCCTTGTGAAACTGGAGGTTCTGGAGTTAACTCCTGGGGCACAAAATATCCTGCAAAAATCGATTTGTGATTTTTTTGCAATGCAGCAGCTTGCCTGGGGAGACTTTGTGGACTGTGGCATTCCCAAGAGTTAATACTTCATAAGAGAATACTGCCGGCTGACTCGCTTTTCCTGCCTTACACTGGCGAGAACAGTCTTACACGTTTTCGATCAGCACGCAGGAGGCAGATGTAAACAGTCCTGCACGTTCTTCAGACTAGGATGTGTTACTACTGCAGCAGATGCTGCTTGGCCCTAATTAGGATTCCAAGAGAAAGCAATTTGTTTGCTTTGCTTTTAAAATTTTGCTTCGTGGAGATTTTAAAACAAGATTTATGCTAGTTCTTGGCGGCAGCCTGACCAATCAGAGACTCTCCAGTTGGCCACTGACTGTCTGAGGGTCTCACAGCCAGGTGCTGAGGGCTTTCCAAGTGCTCTGCTAAATTTCACAGACTCTGTTCTAGAAAAAAAACCCCACTCATTACCAGAGTTCTCTGCGTGTTTTAGAACGGACTCCTGATTATCTTAAGCTATAGAAGGACTCGGGTTTTCCACCGACTCACTGACCCCTGGTCCTCTGCTGAGGAATCCTAACCCCACACCTCCACAGGTGCATCACCAGCGACAACACACGGTCGGCGCGAGAGCCCAGAGCCAGGAGCACTCTGCTCAGCGCCAGTGACAGTTGGCAGAGAAAAGCAACAATCCCGCCACCCTGCCCAACGGCTCACAGGCAGGGACCTTCAGTTAAAAGGAGAGACAGTGCCTGAAGTGCACCTTGAAGATGCTTGCAGATTCTTGGCAACCTCTACGAACCAACACTTAACCCGCGGGCAGAGAGATATCTTTTTTTTTTTTTAATCTGAAAAGGATTAAAGAATAAAGAACGAACAAAAAGGTCTTATGCTAAAATAAGAAATCAGCCCCATCTTGGCACAGTTCTCATGCGAATATTGCACCCAGTGTTAACTAACGCTAGAAGCTTCGAACTGTATAAATTTAAATGTATTTGCATATTATAAAAATAAAGATAAACATATACATATTTTACACTAGTTACGGAACAGCAATGAATGGTCAGTCGATCCCTCGTTCACATTTAACAGAACTGAAATCTGAGTGCTCTGGATACTGCCACCTGCGCTGGAACTACGTATGGCTTGTATGTGCACAGAAAACAAAATCCCTGAGAAGCCATTCGACTTTTTTTTTTCTCTTTTCTTCAAGTAGCGCTCTCCTTGGAGGATCACAGTTCTGAGGTTCAGGTTGTAAAACATTTGCTCCCTCCCTCTCCCATCGCCCGCCCGCTCCTGCCCACCCACCCGCAGGCCAGGCGTGCTCCCTCCTCCGAAAGCACCCCGAGCACTCCGCACTCAAGCTCACGGGCACACCTGGGCGGTGGAGGGTTACCAGGTACGAAAGGTGGTCCAGGTGAGCTCCGACGCGCTCGTCTCCACGGAAATTCCACAGCCATGAAGGTCACTGGTTTCTGTGCTTTTCACCAACGTTCTTCCTATGCGGGGGGATTGAGGAGGAAGCCCAGAAATGACAAAAGGTAAGGGCATTCTCAGCCATAAACACAGGAAGCCACACTGCAAATCTATTCTTCGCACAGATTTTCACGTCTATTTCTAGAACTAATATAAAGATGCAAACGTCAGGTAAATGAGGTTCCTATGAAGGAGAATCCTTTTAAGAGACACCTGTCACACATTTCTGTTTGTGACATGAAGCTCAGACGCAGAGATGACACCAATTAGAAGCACTTATTCCACTGTGATCTCACAGCTTCACTAGATTTCTAATTAAGAACCCAAACTCCAAACACAGCACCGCCTCCATGCTAGAAACTCACATGGACACACACAGACACACACCAAGAAACCCGCTAGGAGTAGGAACATACGCTAAAAAGTAAGAATGGGTGTCTATTTGGACTAAGACAGTTTTACTTAAAGTGTTGTGAGAGGCTGTCAAACTGAACCCGGGAGTTGAGTGAATATAAAATGAAGAAACTGCTGTGTCTTCAGCTAATTAAAGTGACATTCAATCTAGACAACATGGTTAGAGGAAAAATTGGCAAGTGTCCCCATCCCTTATTTCAGCTTTCCTACAATGGCAAGCAATGTGATGTTTTAAGAACTGTTTTAGCAACCGTTAAAAAAAACAAAGACATAAAGGGGTTCGGATCTGTTTCCTTCACCCTCCGCCCCCCCATCTCTCCTAAGGCTACTTGCTTTTATGGAGAACTGACAATTTAGTATCTACCTAAGACATCTCTCCAGCTCATACAAGAATCCACTGAACATAATATTAATAATAATGTCACCAAAAATAGGCACCTTCCCTTTCCTAACAATGGACTACATGCCGGGAACAGCACCACTCACGGTAGCATTATTTCATGAATCATCAGCTCATCACAGTCCTACCAGGTCAGCACCGGCTTCCCCAAGAAGCTAACCAAGGCTCCGAGAGGTTAAATAACTTCCCCAGGGTCCACAGCAGAGAGTGCAGAGCGGGGCCTTCAAAGGAGCTAACTCCAAACACTGCGGGACAGGTTGGAATCCTCAGGGCCCTGGGGCAGTTTCCTGTTTCCATGGCCTCCTTGAGGGCCTATTAATACGGTAACTTCAGAGTAGAGAAAGTTTAGAGAAAGTTCTGAGGACGGCCTCAAATTCAAGTGATAATATAGTCCACCAAACTGTAACGAGGACGGCAGAGTGCAAACACGTTTCTGCCAAGCAGGTGACTTGGGTCCTGCAGGATGCAGGCTTGTGTGACACGTGCTATGTAAACGTTCTCCCTGAGTCTAAGAACCTGGGAAACGCCGGCAGCTGTGCCTGGCTGTGTCCCGGGCCACACGTGAGGCTGAGACGCACGAATCCCTGATCAGGGGCACGGAGCGGGATGATCAGCGTGGAAGGAGCAAGAGGGAAACCGGTTTGAACATTTTCTTACATTGATGCCACTTTTCACGTCCGGGCTCTTAGGGAAAAAAGGTCCATCAAGTCACCCACCTTTCCCACCCTATCCCACCCCACTTCCCCATCTCAGGAAACTTGTTCTCACCCCTCAATCAAGACCCACTCGAGTTCCCAGAACTTTCCCCAGTTCTGGCTGGCAGGTCTTTCTTCTCTGTGCCTGCACGGCTCTGCTGATGCACCATCTGGGCAGGTCCCAGTACTCACAAGGCTGGCTGGCTGGCGCTTGCTTCTCCTAGTCCCCAAGGGGCTATTAGATTCTTGAGGGCGGGGTCTAGCTCAATTATTTCCGATCCTCCACACCTGGTACAAGGCCTAGCAGGGGCAGATACTCAGCAAAGATCTGCTGAATGAATGATTAATAAGGTGTGATGGAAAAGTCACAGGTGAAAAACAGCCAAGCTACTGTGAGCTCGTTACTGTAAAGGAGGCGAGTAAGGAGTACAGAAGAGACGTGAAGAAAAGTGACTGGTGACAGCACTAGGGATGGCTTCTCAGGAGGTGCTGCATGACCTTGGCCTTAGGAATAACGGGCCTTCCCTGGGTAGGAGAGAAGGGATGGCCACCAGCTAAGAACTGACCCAGCCAGGAGTGTAGTAATGCTGACCCCCCCCCACAGTAGGGGGTGTCACACATGTCAGCAAGGTGGCTGGGGTCTGATTGTGAGTCATGCCCAGGATTTTGAACTTGTGACTATCGTCACTAGGAAGCCCTTCAAGGCCTTTAAACAGGGAGAGAAGTGACAGGGTCTCAGTTAAAAGATAGTACTGGTTTGAAGGACAAAAAGACTAGAGCATAGGAGGCCAGCTGAGACTCAATCACAGGAACCTTGACAAAGACGGGGACCGACAGGAAAGCGCGGGCCGAAAAGAAAGTTACATGCTGAGATTCCCTCACGTCAAGACACGCTGGTAAGACAGACAACAGGTCTGCCTATGGAGAGGAGGGACAGTGCTGAAGCTGACAGATTCCTAGCTTCACAGATAGGTGCAAAGCACAGGCTGGTGGAGAGCTCTGGGGGAGGAAGACAGTAATTCACACCGATGGAGACTACAGGTTGTCCAAGGGCGTTGCCAGGTAGTTGCAAACAGAGGCCAGCTTGGGGGTCTCAGACCCAGCATCCTATCTGGTTACTGAAGGTGCATTCCCAGATGCAGCAAAACTATTCAAGGTGTTTAGAAGCTTAGGCTAAAACTGAAGCCACACCATGACATAGTAACCAGTTCTCTCACTTTCTGTATTCTGAGCTCTGACATCTGGGGCCTGGCTGCTCCTGGAGGGTCTGCCCCCCACCCCCCCAAGTGTTAATCAGTTCCCAGGACAGTAAACAATTCAAATGTGAGTGTACTTCTCAAATACAAACCAGCAGATCCAGAACCCACGCCCAACCACCCCCTCTATCAGCTCTCACACTCTGGGCCACCATTCACCTGCCCTGATCACCCCAAGGGCCAGGCACCAGACAACCAGGGACAGACAGTCCCTGTGCCCAGAGCCCACTGGAACTATCCAAACTGGCCAATCCTAAGCCCGTTCCCCTGCCTTGTCCCTACCTTCCCACGGAAACCACAANATGCCCCAGAGCCCACTGGAACTATCCAAACTGGCCAATGCTAAGCCCGTTCCCCTGCCTTGTCCCTACCTTCCCACGGAAACCACAACACAGGCTCTTGCCCACAGTTCCCCCCTCCCCCGGTGTTTCCCCATGCAGCCCCTGCCCGCGCCCACCGCTGCATGTCTGTCCTCTAAGGAAATGTGAGTAATAAACTACCTTTTTAATGAGAGCTATTTCCTGATCTGTTGGCCTTATTATCCCTCCAGTGTTCTATTAACACGCCATTTTTAAAACAAATGTGTAAGGAAGAACTTGCTGTGAAAACAGCACCGATCGGGGAGCCGGTGTGGATTTCGGGCCCAGCCGTGCACTCAGTAACTGGCTGTAGGGCTCAGTGCCCCTGGCCCTACGGGACTTACAGGGTTGTTGGGAGGAGCATAAGGGTCGGGGTCCCCTCTAAGGAGTTTACGCAGGCACGGTAGGCATGTGAGACTACCACATGAATGAAAGGCTACCACTCATCTCTTCAGTTCACAAAGCCTGGGTGGGCACTGCCGTTCCCTGGGTAAGTGCAGGTGCCTTACAACAGGTCCGCATGTATTCCACTTGGACTCATTATGCATGAGGAGGGGAAGGTAAGCCAGCGCCCTCACCTACCCACCCAGCAGCACCTTCCTGGGCAGGCAGAGCACTAACAAGCTAAACACTGCTAGTAAGTCAGAGGGTTGATTTTACTCCAGTATTTTGATTTGCATTTTGAAATTTTGTTTCTTATTATTACCTTTATGTGCCACCCCCAGTGTACACCACTAGTAATTCTGAGCAGAAATAACAGCAACTGAATTTATTGAGCTCCATTTACTCAGTGCAAGGACTAGTGCTTGTTAAATGCTTTCCCTGCAACAGTCCCTCTTAATGCTCACAGTAACCCCATGAGATTGGCACTCCTGTAATCTGCATCTGATAGATGCTACTTTACAGCATAACCCGTTGGGAAGATTCAAACACAGGAAGTGAACTCCTGGGCCCATCAAAGTGCCCGAGAAAATAAATACAAACACTGCTTTTAGAAAGCTATTGGCTATACTAATCAACTCAAGCTTTTCCTGATGTTACCATCTTGCCTAACATTCCAGTAATTTTTTTAGACGACTTTTTTCCAACAAGGATCTGATTCCTGATTATGCTATATTATAGCAGATTAGGTGAAAGAATCAAGCAGTTTCCATATTTTTAATTCTCAAATGCATCTTGATTCTGGATAAGTAAAAGATTTGTAATCTGTCTCGTTCTATCGAGTTTTTTCATCCCAAACCCTACCCCCCCTTTTCCCTAAACTCTCCGAGTCCGTAGGAAGCCCTTGTCTAGTTCCGAAACCCTCTCTGCTTCCCAGAGACTTACCCTTAAACACTGGCGCTCCTAAAGTCAGAGTGGGCACAGTAAAAATGATGCATAGGGGAAAGAAGCACTATCCTTTCCACTTAACTTTCCAAGAAAGTATGGAGATACCTAAGCAGAGAGGGAACAAATTCCAGTGTCAATGTGGCTGATGGGAGACTAAACCATCAAAGAAACACTTGCTCCTCACCTGGAAAAGCTACAAGGCAATGAATGAGCTGCCTCATTTTTTGTAGAAAGAACAAGACGAATCAATGCAAATCAATGTGCTACACGCCCCAAACTCCACTGGCAGCCTTCCCCGCCCTCCGCGTTTTAAAAATTCTGGGGCCTTTGAAAAAGTCTCCACTGTGATAAAGCCAAATTTATCTCACTCCATTGTTTAAAAATATTTTTTTATCCAGTTCATATTAACTAATCTGAGTGCAGTTAAACATTCTTTGCCTGTTGGTGGGATACAGGCCACAGTGTCTTCACCCTACTTTTTATAAAAGGCTATTTCAATTGGTCTTAAAAACCCGTATGTCATAGCATTATAACTGCCAACATTCCTATGCAAAGTAATCACTACATTTT